GAGACATCCCCCTGCCAACAAAGTGCATCTAGTCAAGGCTGTGGTTTCCCCAGTTGCAATGGATGGCTGTGAAGGATGGACCATATGGAAGGATGAGGGCCAAAGAATGGAGGCCTTTGAACTCTGGTGCTGGAGAAGACTCCTGCATTGAGTCCCTTGGACTGTGAGGCCATCCAACTGGTCAGTCCTAGAGGAGATCAACCCTGACTGATCTTTAGAAGGCCAGATCCTGAAGGGGAAACTCAAAGGCTTTGGCCACCTAATGAGAAGGAAGGAATCCCTGGAGAAGAGCCTCATGCTGGGAAAGACTGAGGGCAAAAGAAGAAGGGCAGAGAATGAGGTGGCTGGATGGAGTCACCGAAGTATCAGGCGTGAGCTTGAATGGGCTCCAGAGGATGATAGAGGACAGGAAGGCCTGGAGGAACGTGGTCCATGGAGTCACAATGAGTCAGACACGACTTTGCAACTAACAACAACAATCATGGGGATGATGCAACAGTCATAAGTGTGAAAAACGGACATAAGTCCCCCTTTTCAGCGCCGTTGCAACTATGAATGGTTGTAAGTCAAGAACTGCCTGTATTTTAATGGATGAGGGCAGGGGTCTCCAACCTTTGCAACTTTAAGCCTGGAAGAGCTTTACTGGCTGGGGAATCCTAGAAATTGAAGTCCTCCAGGCTTAAAGTTGCCAAGGTTGGAAACCCCTGGATTACAGCCACCCATTAAGTTAAGTTTACTTTATTGTTATTGCATCTCGTACAAGGAATTTAAATGCCATCTTCTGTGTACATCACACATAAGAAAACTATAAAAGAAATTAAACAAAAGAACGCATCCTTCACATTCCCCTTGAATTCTGGTTTACAAAATGTCAGAAATACACAGGGCAGGAAACAAAGTGAGGTCTGAATCAGCAGAATTATTGCATTCTTAAAGAGACTGAAACTGTGGTGGGTTCTGGCTGGTACGGGCGTACCGGTAGTAGCCGGGAGCAGCAGCCACTGTAACGGTACGGTGGCTCGTTTGGCCCACCCGCCTGCGTTCCATACCTGTTTTTAAGGCAACCGGCCAATTGCGCACATGCGCACAGCATATGGCACCTGCACGACCTCTGACAAGCAGTTGGGTGTCGCAGGGGCGGTGGAGTGCGCAAATGCGTGCCGCACGCGGGCACAACCAGGACGCCCGGCCCCATGCGCAGCGTACCGGTAGGGACGGGGAGAGGAACCCACCACTCAACTGAAACAATTGCTTCTAACTACATACAGGTAGTCCTTGACATACGACCATAACGGAGCCCTGTCCGTTATGGCTGTAATGTCATAACGGTTGCAAAATGGGTTGGTCACCCGAGCAGCACAATTTTACGATTTGTTCTTTGTGTGTGTGTGTGTGTGGTGTTTTTTTCCCCAATGGTTGTAAACGTAGCCGTGTTGCCGAAGTTCAGTCATGGGACTGCAAAAGAGCTCCAACCATCAAAATTTCGAATCAGGGTCATCAGTCCTCTTTTTCAGATCGGTCGTAACTTCAAACAGTTGCTAAGTGACCGGGCATAAGTTGTGTTCTACCCATACGGAGAGCAAATCTTTGATTTATTAGCAGGACTGCACCTTTAACTAGCTTAGAAGACTAGCAATGGTTCACTTGTTTTTAGTTTTCGTAAGGGGGGGGAGGGCAGGTGGTTGGTCCCCTCCATCAATTTGCCAATCGTTTCCTGTCCAGACAATAAAGGGGTAGGGGATCATGAGTAGCCAGGAGGGGTGAGGGGAGGAAGAAAAGAAGGAGTAATAAGATCACCCAAAGGCCAGGAGTAACTTACAAGATCCGTAATTGCTGGGGCTTTCAACTGGGTGGAAGGCCCGGGGTTGAATCGAGAAACTCGCCTGAATTAAAATTTAACTTTATCACAATCTGCGAAAGCAAGTAATGAGCAGTAACATTTTTATTTCTTTTAAACTGTCATTTTAGGCTGAGCTGGGAATAATTACCTATTTCCACTGCAGGAAGGTTTTATCACCCCGAGTGAGGCATTTTCTAATTTAATATTTTTATTATATTATCATAAAACCTGGTTTCAAGGAGAGGCGGGGAAAGTTATCGTGAGCCACTGGCTGTAAAACTCAGTGAGTGCCTGGGCTTAATTATTCATGTCACTGTTTCTCAACCTTGGCAGTTTGAAGAGGTGGGGACTTCAACTCCCAGAATTCCCCAGCCAGCAACATGTGGATTTCAACTCCCAGAATTCTGGGAGTTGAANATGCTAGGAGGAGACTCTATGATAAGGGAACTGGACTTCCGGTTGGCAGAGGAAAAAGGATGTCATGCTAGGAGGAGACTCTATGGTAGGGGAACCGGACTTCTGGTCAGCCCCAGAATTGAACGGGGGGGGGGGGGGGGGCTCCCAGTTAGGACCTTTGTGGCTCTTTTGAGTGTTTAAGGTTGCCGGCCCCTGTTCTATATCTATCTTGTCCCTCTGTCTAATCTATTTATCGCTGCCCAGGGTCAGAATCTGCAAATGATTGCCTTCCCCCAACAAACACCAATGTTAAACCATGTTAGAACTTAGCTTGGACAAGGCAACATGTCCAACCCACTTTAAACTCTTTATGTCAAGGACTCATACATTAAAAAAAAAAAAAAAAAAACAGTAGACCAGTCACAAGTTAAACCCACCTCTATTCTTCTCACGGCATCCTCCACTGCCGCAGAAGTGGTGGCCATCTCTTTGTCAACCAAGTCGCCCAGTTCTTCTTCCCGGATGTCCAAACTTTTGGGCCTCAGTTCCTAACCACCCCCCAAGGAAGGAAAGAAAAGTTGACCGAGAATTCTGAGGAGAACTTTGGCCTTGAAGAAAGCTTCAAGAGTTTAGTCAACGGTGGAGAGCAAGCAACGAAGCCGCCTGAGCCCGACGTTCCTTGCGGAGAACTTCTCCTGGTGGGCCTCCGTTCTCTCCTCACCTGTCCTAGCTGGAACAGCCTCTGCAGAGTTGTCCTCAGCTCTGCTGGATCTGCTTCTCGGAGAGACTGTTTGTCTTTGAGCTTCTTCAAGTAATCCAGGCTGTGTTGCCCACAGTCCCTGCAGGATTCGGTCAGTTCTGGACCAGAGGAAAAAAAGAAAAATGAGATTCAGTTGATTCTGATCCTGAGGCCATTACAGGAAGTTTTCAAAACTTGGGATGGTTTCCCTAGTCATCCTTTTTGAAGGATGTTGTTCTCCCTTCAAAAGCAAGCAGCAGAATCTTGGACCTGGCAAAACCCCTTTTATTTACACGACTCTGAATTCCTTTCATTCACAGTCAGCAAGGCTTGCAAAACAAGTCTTTCAGAGGAATATTTATCAACACGCACCTTATCTCGCTTGGAGAGCTGCCAGATAACTAGTTTCCAAGGGAAAACTTGGCACAGCCTCTTATAGTCCCAAACAGAACTTTCCACTCTTGACACAACCGTGGGAATGAATTGTTTCCTGCAAAAGCCCCCTCCCCATTCGCTCCTCTGTTGTTTCCTAGGGGAGGGGCTAATCACCTCCAAGGTGTGGCTTTACTCCCAAGTCAACTCTGCTTTCTTAGTTGCTCTTGTCTTCTGGCAGCTCTGCGCATGCGCACACTGGGAACAGGCTCCACCTGTTCTTCTGCCTCACTGTTGTCCCTCTCTGACTCCGACGCAGAGCCCTCGTCTGAGCTTTCCCCAGCCCCCAAGACTGGTCCATGTTCCCTCCCCAACCTCCTCATTGTCCGACTCTGCTGCCAGCTTCGATGGCGGACCACAACAGATGTTATTTTATGGAGCAATACCATGATATCAAGAGGGGCTTATAATGGCCTGAACCATCTTTGGAAGATCCTAGGAGAGCTTGGCCCTCGTTGCAAGGATCAAAGATCACATCAGATCAAAGCTGAGGAGCACAGCAAACACTTCTTGCCGATTGGATCGTTTCAAGCACCAAGAAGGTTGACATTTCCAGTCTTCCTATCTTATCAAGATGAGGAGCGTTTTCCACGCCCTACTCACTGTCAGCGTGATCCGTCGGGGCAAGATGGGAGGTGGCGCTGCCGTTCACGATGGCATCTGCCGCGAGGTGGGCAAACTGAGCCAACGCGGCAACCAGTCCAGAGGCATCTGAGACAAAGAGTGAGAAGGAGGGGAACGGTGAGAAGGCAGAGCAACCCGAAAAACGTGTGGCATTCAAGGCAGACGGAGGCCAACGTTCTCTAGAGTCGGTCCTTCCTTTTATGGCAGTGTTTGGCATCCGTAGCTACTTTAAGACGGGTGGACTTCAACTCCCAGAATTCCCAGCCAGCATAGAATTCTGGGACTTTGAAGTCCACCCATCTTAAAGGGGCTGAGGTTGAGAAAACGCTGCTTTAGCAATAGCAGTTCGACTTATATACCGCTTCATAGGGTTTTCAGCCCTCTCTAAGCGGTTTACAGAGTC